TATATTCTAATGTATTTACATTTACATACTATTTCATTTCTGCCCTTCGGTGGAGCTGAAACCCCTATTTTGCGGTGTGGCACCTGCCCCCACTGCTAGGTATTCCGTGTAGTCCATATAGGAAGTTCCGTGTAGGAATAAACTAGTTGTGCTACTGAATGGCAGAGACGTTCTCGTAATAGTTTCCTAATCACTTTAGTCTGGGTTACTTTTTCTGTATTCCCCACACTCTTTCAAGCTAGCGGCCTAGCTGGCTGATGGCATCAGTTGTTGTCAGTGCATTGCTTCTGATCGGGAAGTCTGGAGTTCGAGGAGGCTTATAGCTTGTCTCAGTTGGGGCGGTGCTCCGCTGGTGGGAGATATCATTTTGGAGAAGATCCCACAAGCCGTCATAAAGGTCGGCGCCGGATCTTGCCATCCAGGTGGGGTAAGCCACCGCCACCTCGTACGATAAAGACACACACCACAATTAACGTCTCACACACACTGCAGTCGACTAATGAATGATCTTAGGAGTTGACGCATCTGGAAACATCAATCAATCAATCTTCCAAGCTTCTAACTTGAAAAAAATGCCATTCTTCCGTGCTGCTATCGACGCTTAAAAGACAATTTTTCAGTTTCCTAGTAGCAGTGGAAACTATTGCCCCAGCAAACTGGAAGATGCAACTTCGGTGAATGTCGGAAATGTAATTTCCAAAATTCAGGACAATAATGTAAAAAAATTAGCAATTCATGTAAATTGATTAACAAAGTTAAATAAAAGTTTGTATTCAAACATTACTTGCATTCTTTTATGTGAAATGCCCATGTCAGTTGTGTTCACCTTCTGCACATGTAATTTTGGCTTTGATTCTTTGGGATTTGATGGCTTTGATTTGATAGAATTCATACAAAACAAAAATGAACTAGGTAGGTTTCGAAAATGTGGTGATCGCACTCCAGCACTTTACAACAAGTTCTATTGTTTGTACATGTTTTACACTAGTCCATTTCTTGATCTTTATTTTATTGCTTCTACTGGTGGTGATGATAATGAAATAAAATTATTTTATTTAAAAAAACTCATACTCTGCTATATATTGCAACAATGAAAGATCTTCCACACTCACATATTCACAACAATGCCTGCAGAATAACTCCAGGTTCTGTTGGGAAGATCTTTGCCCACACTATGTTCAGAAGAGGGACAGAAAGAGGAGACTTACTTCCAGATCAGCCAACTTTACATAAAACACACATCAAATGTACATTTTAAATCAACATCCCTTATATCAAATGCAAACAAATTCCCAAACATCATAAATAACGCAATCAATAAGGTCAAGAATTGACTGAAGTTGTATACTTTCAACATGAGTATTCTGACTACACAACATATTAGAGGAAGTAATTCACTATAGATAGGTACAAAATATATCCACTTTTCCAATACTATGGCTCCACAGTACAAGCTCATGTGGAGAAAAATCCTTGGTTTTTGCCGCAGTATTATGATGCTTCCTTAATTCCTTAATACGTAGGTAATATATGAGAAAGTAAAAATATATCAAGAGAGCACAAATAAAGTATGGAATTTACATAAAGTACGGTTTATAAAACAGTATGTTTTGTTCATCCTACTGTAACTTGTTAAGTAACAGTAGTTAACAGGGTAATATTATTATCATTATTATTATTGTTATCTTACATTATTCACAGCTATCTTACTATTGAAGTACATGATCGGTATGTCAACCACACACAGGAATGATGGCCAGGTGTGTGGTTGCTTACTGAAGGTTCAGATGGCTTCTGACAATACGGCATGTATTCAAAATTACACACTTTTGCATATTATATACATTCCTGGCATCCCAAGTGAAGGACACTCCCAGTGCCCAAAGTGCCATTTTCGGGATCACTCCTGTAGCTGATATTATTATAGGCACAGTTGTCACTTTACTGAAGTTCCACTCTGTTGCGACTTCATGGGCGAGATCGTATACTTCTGGATCTTCTCTTGATATTTTTCCCGATATGTTGTGGGTATTGCGGTATTGATATATCGATAAGGAAAACCTGCTGATAGTTTCTATCCAATGTACGTTATATCGGGTCTATGCCGCCGAGTGTTAGTCAGTGATAATGGAGCAATCCCCAGTAAAGAGTTGTGCTCACTAACTTCCAAAGCACATTCTGAGGCACATATTTATAATACGGCAACGGAAGTGGCGGAGAAAACTCCCGTTCCAAGCCAATAATGGTGAACGCTGCTTCGCCCACTTCATCAATGCCTGCTTTTTGTATATCCAACTGGGGTGATGCTACATCCCACTTGTCACGTGTTGGGATAGTTTTCCGGCTTGCAGCCTCACATTTCTACCACGGAGTCGAAGATGAATGGTAAATCTTCTCAGAATGTGTTTTCTGTAGTTCAATTGGGTACCCACTTGGTCTGGATAGGCTATCATGAGGCTTCTGGCTCCGGGAAAGAGATTCCCCGTGCTGGAGCCATGCGTGCGACGCAGAGGATGTCGGCTTCTGGTTTACTCAGCTCGGTGCAGGGGTTACCTTTCCATTGCCGTTCCTTCGCTTTCCATTAAGGGTTATCTCTCTCATTTCAATGATTGGTTGAACAGGGCGGATCAAGCTTTTTCAAGTTCAAAGGACTATAAGTTTTATCAACTGCCGGCTGCACTTGCCTTTGCTGAAACTCTCCCACCAATGTTCAAGAAGTATCTTCTGAATGAAGCATATTTGAGAGCTGTGTAGATAATATGAGATCTACAACAACCTGCCGCTCCTGCGAACCTTGCGAAGTGTAAAACGCTCAGTACATTGAATGGGGAATGATGTTTCGGTGTTTGCAGTTCCATAGCGGTTCGAATTGTCTCTAGTTGTCGGTTGTCGAGTCGGTATTGCTCCTTAATAGCGCCAAGGAGTATGTCAGCGCTGGAATAACAAATGATTGTATGGCCTGCAAAAGTTACTGCAGAGAGTTGAGTTTTTTAAGAGTCCATGCAAATCGTTTACACACTTCAGTTTTTAGTATGTTCTTAGTAACAGTGTGTTTGGATTCGGAGTGACTGTTGGAAACCCAAGTATTTGTAAGTTTCATGGGGTTCCATGAAGTAAGTACTCCGGTCATTATCAGATTCCAAATTTATAAACTTGATATGACCCCGGAATGATATTCACTCTTCCTCGCACTTATCCAAACCGAAATTTTCATCTTGATTTCGTCAGTGAATTCCTTCCGTCACGTTTATTAGTTGCCCGCATATCACTCTGAGTGTCTGCATAAGGCTCATGGTCATCCATGTAAGAAGATGTGAGACACGAAGAAGACTTGAGCTTCCCCTTTTAGAGCGATTCCATATATGGATGAATTTAAGTAGAGAGACGGGGATGCAAGGCTAAGGCAGAACAATAGAAGGGCTTAAAGAGTCACCCTGGAATAATGCCCTCGCGGATGTGTGTAGTATCTGTCGAGGACGGCTTGTTTTCCATTTAGAGAGAGACAGTTTGTATTCCATCGAACTCATCGCGGTTATTTTTCAGGAAGTTTTGGATAAACGGGTGGATCTTGTGTATACTCCAAAACATTGAGGAAGCAAGAATGGGGCACGGTGGTCGAATGCTTTAGCGTAATGCTATGTAGCATGCGTAACAAGTTTCTTTATTTTCAGCACTTGTCCCATAATTACAGAAGTCTATAATGAGTTGCTCCTTGCATCCCTGAGATCAGGCTACATCCTTTCTGTTCATTTGCTAAGATGTACTGTTCCTCAAATTGTGTGTCATGCATCATTGTGAAACACAAGATTGTTATTGAGTTTGTAGAAAGTTTGAAACAGGTTTATACGCCTGTACTTCGAGGTCTTTAGTGTCACCCTCCTTTGGTAACATAATGTTCCTATCTTCAGTGAGGAAGTAAGGTAGATTTTGCTGGATTGTGAAGAAAATATTGAATTAATATTAAGCTATATATGATCGTGAGTGGCTGGTAAATTTTTTCAGACAATAATTGTTGCAGACCATCACTGCCTCATTGCCTTCCAAGTAATGTGCTTTGTTCCAAAGCTGCTTTGAACAATTTCCACGGTGATATTGGTTCACCCATTAGAAGGGATATCCTCCGGCTGTGTCATATTTATTTCAATACCACGTCATTAATCTGGGTTTGGACACAGCCAGAATGACCAGATAGGCTTCCAAAATCCTCTATTTGCGCCGTTTGAGGGAAGCTTTGACTCTCATATGCATTTTACAAGCTCTTGCCCTTGACATTTCCTCTGTAGAATGCATTCTGCGTTTTTAAAAGAGAATTCTCTTGCTTCCTCGTAGTGCAATTTCGCTGTAGCGTCGAAGGCGTTTTGGTTAACGCCAAAGCCTTATGTAGTAAGAGTGTCACGATGTTCTGTTATTGTTGAATTAAGGGCTCGTGCTTCGTATATGTATTTTTGTATTGATAAGGATGTTATTCACCTTTCTTCCTCAGTTTTTCTCTGAGGTATTTCCTTTTTTAAATTGTGTGAGTCTCCATTCATCAATCGTCATCATCATTATTTATTATTAATTACTATTATTGTTATATTTATATATTTATTATTATTATTATTATATTATTATATTATTATTACATACTACTACTACTACTACTAACTACTACTACTATACTATTACTATTAAATTTAAATCAAGTAAAAGAAGCAACTTCTATGTAGCAAAAGAGAGAATGAGTACACAATCAATCCAAACAAACTAGAATTTCATAATTATCCAATTGCTAATCAACCAATATTTTAGCTCAAATTGTTAATATGGTATATATACATATATAAAAATTCAATAAATGTTGAAATTATTTAATGATTGATCATATTTGACTCAACTTTGACAGAAGCTTAGAAAGATATATGTTTATGATGAATTTCTGAGTGAGATATTAAAAACTATTGAAATATCAATTTTCTGTAAGAAACATTATTTTTTAAATTTTATATTACTTCTTTCAGTTGTTTTGAGTGCCAAATGGAAAGAAAACAAGCCATTTATAACATCCGGTCCACTACCTGACAAATATATATTTTCTCAAATGCATTTTCATTGGGGTAGTAATGATAATGAAGGGAGTGAACATACAATAGAAGGTTTCTGGTAAGTTTATTGTACAATCCACTTGGTAAGACTATAAGATGAATGATAATTGTTTTTGAGACAATAAATAATATACATTTTTTGTTGCTCTTATAATAATATAAATAAAATAAAATACTTTTAGTCATAATAAATAATATATTTTTTGTTGTTGTAGTTTTCCCATGGAGATGCATGTTGTTCATTTTAAGGCTTCATATTCAACACGTAAAAATGCGCATCAAAGAAAAGATGGCCTTGTGGTAACAGTGTATTTATTTCAGGTAAAATTGCTGCTTTTATTTAATATTTGATGAATTATTTAAATGGAATGATAATTTAAAAATATGTTCATTTAAAATGTTTTTTCAATTTCAGATACAAGAAATTGATAACCGAAATCTATCGTCTTTAATTGATGCACTTCCATCTGTTTGTGTTCCTAATTCATCAACAAGCATTATGCCTTCATCACTTGAAGATTATGCCCCACCTTTTTCTAATAATTATTTTTTGTATTGGGGTTCAGTGAATACTGTAACTTGTTCACATGAGATTCTTTGGTTTGTTTGCAGAGAACCTGTAGGCATATCCAGAAAGCAGGTGATATTCTTAAATCATTTATTGTTTCTTTTGTATGAAATAAACATTTCCTTTCTTATTAGAAAATTACCAGAAGACTCACAGTGACTCACTTCAGAATATGTAATAGAGTATTTAATGCTCTTGGAGAACAAACTTGTGTATGAAGTAAGGAAATATGAGAAATAATATGGGAATATTGAAATTGACATGGATCCAATATATTGCCTCAATTTATTTTAAAACACTTTGCATTATCAATATTTAGAATTCATTATTTATCTTTTTTAATAAACAAAATAAAAAACACAGAAAAATAGGAAAATTAATAAAATAAAACATAATTAAGAAAAAAAAGAAATTATTAAATTATTTTTTTACTTAATTACTGTTTGACTTAAATTACTATTTTAGCTCTCAGGTGCTAATTATAAATTGTGGGAAACTGTGGACTACAATTTGTTTTCAACCCTTTGTAAGATCTGTGTCAAAACATTAAATATTCTTAAATAACGAAGAAAAAAAGTTATTTTTTTCTTGATTATAAAGGTCAAAGTCGTATATAGAGGCCTGAAAAAATCTCAAAGCATCTTCATTATCTATACAAAGTTGCAATAATTATTAAAGACAATTTCATAGGCAAAATATGGATAAAAAATGTAAACTGACATAAGAAGCTAAAAAACATGTATTTTTCATTTGTGTAAAGTACTCCTGGTAAATTGATGTAAATCCTGCAAAAAACCTGTTTTTTTTAAATTGATATACCACTATTTTCAATATAAATCTTTTTTATTCCCTTGGGGCATTTTTGTCCATTTTATTCTGTTACCTCCTTGGTACTAGGCACTACATAGTTTTCATACATAGCCTACACTTTATCCTCTAACTTTCTCATACACTACAGGGAAAGTTATACAATGTTGCGGGAAAAGTTTCAATTTTTTGACAAA